AGCACGAGGTCCATCAGAGGCAGAAGAGCAGCCGTGAGCAAGAGAAAGAAGTTGAAAGGCCGGCAGAAGGCAGGAGAGGGCGGGCGGGGGAGAGGAGGCTCTGAGTAGAGGCTGGTTCAGAGGGCAGGGCTCCCAGCTGGCATCAACGACCGACCGAGTGAGAACAGGAGTGGATGCCCAGGCGTGGCTGAAGGGTCAGCCGAGTGGGTGCCACAGAGGGAGGGCCTTAGCCACGCGGGAGGGGGAGGATGGCCTTCTCCTCCCGGAATCTGACATAGAAGAAAAGCGACCACAAACTCTCCTGCAAAGGAGCCTCCGTTCCCAGGGGGTGGGGGTGGGGGACTCAACTCACGGATGGGCCATCTCTTTTTCCTATTTCAGACACAGCCCCACCGCAAGACCCCAGGGGACGATGGGCTTGCTGATCCACAGCCTGGTCTGCCTGCTGGGCACCGGTTCTTGGGTGGCCGTCAACGGGATCTGGGTGGAACTGCCCCTGATGGTGCCCAGCGTCCCTGAGGGCTGGCTCCTGCCCTCCTGCCTGACCATCATCATCCAGCTGGCCAACGTGGGGCCCCTGGCCATCACCCTGGCCCACCGCTTCCAGCCCGGCCGGCTGGGCGAAGTGGGCATCATCTACGCCATCCTCTGCCTGGGGCTCCTGGCATGTCTTCTGCTAGCCGCCTTCTGGAGGGAGACCAGCGTAGTGGGGGGCTCCCCCCGCAGCACGGCCCTCCTCAGCCTGCTCTTCTTCCTCGCCCTGGTGGACTGCACCTCCTCGGTCACCTTCCTGCCCTACATGCGGAGGCTTCGGCCCCGGTACCTCACCACCTACTTCATAGGGGAGGGCCTGAGCGGCCTCCTGCCTGGGCTGATGGCCCTGGGGCAGGGTGCAGGCACCTTCCGCTGTGCCCAGAACACCAGCCAGGGGGGCAACGGCACGGGGCCCGGGCAGGCGCAGTACGAGGAGGGCCGCTTCTCTGTCACGGCCTTCTTCTCCTTCCTCGGGGGCATGATGGCCCTTTGCCTCACTGCCTTCGTCCTCCTGAACCACCTGCCGACCGCCAAGAGAGCGAGGGCCAAGGAGGAGCCCCACCGTGCGGGAGGCAATGCCGGGGCCGCCAAGGGCAAGGGAGTGGCCCCGGACGAGCGCCCCACCAGCGGGGCCTCCCTCTCGGGCTCCTTCTGCTCCGGCACCTACTCTTGCTCCCAGGTGGCCTACATCTTCGGCCTGCTCTCCTGGGTCAACGCCCTGACCAACGGCATCCTCCCCGCGATCCAGTCGTACTCCTGCCTGCCCTACGGCAACCTCACCTACCATCTCTCAGCCACCTTGGCCGCCTTGGCCAACCCGCTCGCCTGCTTCCTGGGGATGTTCCTGCCCAACAGGTGAAGGGAGGCCCTGGACCCCAAGGGGAAAGGGGGGGAGAGGAGGCCGAGGGGGGTCACCTTGGCCTGGGGGCAGAGGTTGCAGGCAACTGCCAGCTGGCAGGGACAGTGAGAGCACCGGGTGAGGGGCGGGCATCGAAGGAGCCAGTCCACCTGCGGAAGGGAAGGACGGAGACGGCCCATCCTCTTCATTGATGGAGCTGGGATAAAAACCCAGCAACTGACGGGCCTCCCCAGTGTGGGGGTCACCAGGGCCACCTGAGGTTGAGAGCACCACTGTTCCTGCTGCCTGCGGGGGGGGGGCTCGGTGGGCTGTGGCCCCAAAACAGGACATCCCCATCTTGCTGTGTTGCTCATCACATGCATCCCTCAAAGCACACAAGCAGGAAAGACCCTTTCCAGGCAACTGCGGGATGGGATGGGCAGTCGGGGGTCCCTGTGCGGGTGGTCCTCCTAGCCCCATCGCCACTTCTCAATCCCCCTCTCCGGCACATTTTGGAGGGGGGCATTGGGAAGCGGGAAGCCCCCCAACCCAACCCACCCACCCCTTTGAGGGGCACAGGATCCTTCCCCACGTAGTTGAGGAACTGGGCAATTCACCGCAGATCGAGCAGTCCGGCTGCCCTGGTGAGGGCAGAGCAGGGCAGGGCTTAGAGTGGAAGAGTGGGGATGCAGGAGGAGACCTTCCTGTGGGGCTGGTCGGCAAGCTTTCCTCAAAGCCCAGGCAGCCACAGAGGGTCTGGAAAACTCTCCTCTCCCCCCCCCTTGCCCCCAAACACCACCACGATGTGGAGGTCCTTCACGGGAAAGGCGGCAGCCACGCCAGCTGCCAGGCGCCTTTTGCAAGGGGGCTGGCCAGGAAAGGCGTTTTTGCCCGGACCTCAGGTGCCCTGCGCCCCAATGAGCTGGGTTCCACCCGGGGATCAGGACCCGTCCTCCCAGGTTGCCCACTCGCCCACCTCCGCCATTCGGTGGTCCAACTGCCCTGCCTGCCTCACCTCTGTGACGTTGCAAGGGCCTGGCCTTCCCGCATGGCAGCCAGGGAGTCGTCTCCACCTGCCAGCTCGAGACAGATGGGCAGAACCCTGGAGCGGCCGGGTGCCCCAGGATGGGCCCTTCTGGCCAGGGGTTTTTTTTTGGAGGGGGAGGTGGGTGGAAAGGATGGCTCACGCCCGTGGCCCCCCCTCTCTCATTCCCTCTCCTCCCTCAGGTCTCTGGTGCTGATGGGTCTCCTCTCCTTGGCTGGAACTCTCCTGGCCTGTTACATCATGGCCATGGCCGTGCTGAGCCCTTGCCCTCTCCTGCGGAACGGACCCCTCGGTGCCATCCTGATCGTAAGTAGGAGTAGCCCGTGCACCCATCCTGCCAAATCCCATGCCCGCCCCTGCCCCCAACCCCCTGCCTGCGGTCGGGGGCCGCTCAGCTCCTCCTGCTGCCCCCCCAGCCTCAAAGCCCACCGGGGGGGCAAGAGGACTGCCTCTGGGTCAGCTGCCATCTCACCCCCCTCCCCTGGGAGCTCAGCTGCCCCATGTTCATTTACTTCTCCCTCCTGC